ACTCTTGTAGGACACTCTTGTGGGACACTCTTGTGGGACACTCTTGTGGGACACTCTTGTAGGACACTCTTGTGGGATACTCGTGTAGAACACTCTTAAGGGACACTCTTGTGAGACGCTCTAGTGGGACACTGTTGTGGGACAGTCTTGTACGACACTCTTGTGGGACACTCTTGTAAGACACTCTTGTGGGACACTCTTCTGGGACACTCTTGTAGGACACTCTTGTAGGACACTCTTGTGGGTCACTCTTGTGGGGCACTCTTGTAGGACACTCTTGTGGGACACTCTTCTGGGACACTCTTGTAGGACACTCTTGTAGGAAACTCTTGTGGGTCACTCTTGTAGGAAACTCCTGTGGGACACTCTTGTAGGACACTCTTGTCGGACACTCTTGTGGGACACTCTTATAGGACACTCTTGTGGAACACTCTTGTGGGACACTCTTGTAGGACACTCTTGTGGGACACTCTTGTGGGACACTCTTGTGGGATACTCCTGTAGGACACTCTTTTGAGACACTCTGGTGGGACACTGTTGCGGGACACTCTTGTGGGATACTCTTGTCGGACACTCTTAAGGGACACTCTTGTGAGACACTCTTGAGCAACACTGTTGCGGGACACTCTTGTGGGACACTCTTGTGGCACACTCTTATGAGACACTCTTGTAGAACACTCTTGTGGGAGACTCTTGTGGGAGACTCTTGTGGGACACTCTTGTGGGACACTCTTATAGGACACTCTTGTAGGACACTCTTGTGGGTCACTCTTGTAGGACCCTCTTGTGGGACAGTCTTGTGGGACACTCTGTGGGACACTCTTGTGGAACTCCTTGTGGGACACTCTTGTAGGATACTCTTGTGGGACAGTCTTGTAGGACACTCTTGTGGGACACTCTTGTGGGACACTCTTGTAGGACACTCTTGTGGGATACTCCTGTAGGACACTCTTTTGAGACACTCTAGTGGGACACTGTTGCGGGACACTCTTGTGGGACTCTCTTCCAGCTCCCCAGATACTCCGCGTACTAAAGTTGTACTACAAGGTCGCCAGTTCTCAGCTTCCAGCTCCCCAGATACTCCACGTACTACAGTTGTACTACAAGGTCGCCAGTTCTCAGCTTCCAGCTCCACCGGACAAATCGCACTCTCGCCTGCATTTCGCGCACTCAACACGCACGATCTCCGCAGAGGGTTGCGCGCGCATGGGACAAATCGC